GGTTCAAACAGGAGGTTTGGATCCACTTTTCCCAAGAGATCGTTTGAGCTTCGCACTGAGCAAGGGATTCATCTCCACTACGACCCGTTCAAGTACCGCAGGAAATCTGAGTGACAGTCAGTTTCTCCGTTCACCTATAACAACCGCATTCCGGGTAAACCCTGTTCCGCCCTCCACCGAATCAAACTAACACTGAAACTACAGCATACAGATTGGACTCAAGGATTCAACAACTTCTCTGGAAAAGTGAGTCAGCAACCAAATCCTCTTCTCCAAGTTCACAAATCAAATTTCCCACTGAGCCTGAACTAACCGCTGTTTCTTCCCCTCACTTTTCAGTTCCGGTTGAGCAGTGTTCAGAGCAACACTTCTCTCTGAATTATCTCTTTAATAAAACCTGTTAAACCTTCTCCCTGGTCTCCCTGTTTGGTCTGTTTGGGTCTGAACCTTAGTAAAATCATGACAAATGGGGTCTCTATATATCATCATCTTTGTCTTATTTTATTTTAAATTCCAAATGGTAAAAACCAATCCATGCTTCAAATTTCTCAATTTAAAGGAATCCTCTTAGAAATCTGACCTATTTATGTTAAAACTGCATGTTGATGTTGGCTTTAATTTAAAAAGTGTAAAAAAGTTGCCTGGTTTGTATTTTTTTTTGCCGTGTGGGATCATTATCCAACCTTACTGATCAAATAAGGAAAGAGGAACAGACAGAAATCTCAGTATCTATATTATACACAGCTGGTGAAGACCCGGTTTAAAAAAGAAAGTTTTCCTTCCACATTTACATTTACTTATTATTTTCTGTTTCCTTTCACATAAAATCCTCATAAGATGTTTGTAATTTGAATCTCAACATGCATCAAAAGCAAAGAGATTAAATACTTTTTGCAAGGAAATGTATATCATTAGTATGTTTTGGGCATGGTGACACTCACCGATTTTGTCGTCCGAGACGGTATGGCAGACATGTTGGATATTTTAGTATGACCCACCACTGTTTCACCAACCAGGCCCTGCATGGTGAACTCAGCAATTTGAACCGGAACAAAGTTCTCGTTTGTGATGTTGATAAGATTCTAAGAGAGAAAAAAAAAACATACAAAGTTTCACTGGGCAAACCAATACATACATTTTTACCACTAAAAGGTGTCAGTGACTTTGTCAGTTGTATAACACCTGCTGCTAGTCATGTGAAAGCCTTTAACACATCTCTCACAAACTTTATAAGTATGACTGCACGAGAAGTCTGTGTGATGCAAGTTTAAATATTAAATGTAAAACATAGTGACAGTGCAAAAAAAAAAAAGGCTTTCACAATGTCTTGTTCATATTTTGCAAACCTGAGTGTTGCACGTTATGATTTAGGGGGGAATTTCGAACACTGGCAACAGCGGTTAGGGGGAACGCTTTCATTTCCTCTTTTGAGTAAATTTCTACCAGAAAAAAAATCCTTAATCCTTTCCCAGACAGATCAACAGCCGCTTTAGTTGCTAAATGCTCTCAGACATCCAGGATATGAAAAATCTAAAAAGATTTAAAAAATATAGCAAGTGGAAAGTTCTTGCAATTAACTACAAAAAAATAAAGTCAACCCAATAGAGCCAGCCCCTCCTAAAAGACTCAGCTGTGCATTTAAGCCTAAAAGAAAACGGAAGCTCTTTAAAGCAGCCAACCTTTTTTGACTTTTGTACCCCTTTGGGCATTTTGTCTTACCATGAGTACCCCAATCAGTCAAAAGTATATATGCCTGTCCAAAAGTGGAATACACTATTAAAATAAAGACTATTTTGAGAGTGATCTATGTGAGAAACAGAATGGAAAGATACAGAAGATATCTGGTGTTTGGAGTTTCTTTTTATCAGAATCAGAATCAGAAATACTTTAATAATCCCAGAGGGAAATTACTTTTGTTACACGCTCCAGTTACAGTTTTATATAATATATATACACACATCCAACTATACAATATAATAAAGATAAAAAATAAGAATAAAAAGAGATAAAATATATACACGTATAGCTCTTCTGTATATATATCTGTACGTATATCATACAAAAACTAAATCCAAATAAAGTCAAAATCCAAGTAAAGTGATAAATCCAAGTAAAGTGATACGTGGCGTGCAAAAATAGTGCATAAATGTCAATTACGGGGGGGATTGATGACCACAGGTAGGAATGATTTCCTGTGTTGCTCTGTGGTGCATCTGGGTAGGAGGAGTCTTCTGCTGAAGGAGCTCGTCTGCTGGACCAGTGTGTCGTGGAGAGGATGTGAGTCATTGTCTAAGATGGACTGAAACCTGGACATATACTATATCAAGCAAGGGAATTCTCCTATGGGGATTAATAAAGTAACTATCTATCTATGTATCTGTCTGTCTATCTCTTTTAATTTGAGCATTTAATTTTTACATGTATTTTTATTTTTATATGTTTATATGTATGCTTCCCATCTCTAATAATAAAAAAACAACATGAATATGTTGGAAATTAGTAAGGAATCGAAATTAATACAAAATAAAATATTATAAACCTGTATTTATAAAACTGGAGCTCCTCCGAGTAACTCCTTTATAATCATATTTAAACTTGATGAATTCGGAACAAAATACAGAACAAAAATTATAGTCAGACTGACTTGTTTTCATCAAAACACCTGAGCTGCTTTGATGAGCTCCAATATCTCAGTGATCTCAGGCTGTTCTCTACATCCAGTCTGTTCCTCTGCTTGGTTTTAATGTTGATCACAGCTCAAACACATAAAAGCTTGTTTACTTTTTGGGTCCTCACAAAGCAAAACAGATCCCACTCGCAGACCACTAGTGATACGCGTACCCCCAGTTGGGAAACACTGCTTTAAAGGATCACCAACTAACCATAGGATGTCTGATGAACATGCAGATCACGTCTATCTGGGGTCTCTATAAAAATAAGGTCAATGTGTATGTTAACTGGGAGTGGTGGCCTAGTGGTTAGGGCTCACACTTGGAATCCTCAGGTTCTGAGTTCAAGCCCCACTCCCACGGACTGCCACTCTGGGTCCCCGAGTGTGTGGCTCTCCCCGAGCGCCACACATTGGCAGCCGTCTGCTCCCCAAAGGCGATTGGTTAAAGGCAGAGAGTTAATTTTATTGCTCTGTACTTGTGACGGTGTAATGACAATAAAAACACTGGGGGGAAAAAGAAGTTAATGAGGTCAAAGTTTGAATGTGGGACGAGCTATTTTTTGGGACATCATAAATATGTTCAATGCATTTGAAGATAGTTTCTTTTCTTTTTTTTTATATACCCATAGACGTGACTATATGTTGTCCTTTTTAGGTTTTCTTCGCACGTCTAATGGTGCACAATAAAAGGCCAGATGACGTCTTTTTTCCAACGTCTACCATGTGTCTCATTAAGACTTCTACAGAAATGCTATACCTATAGTGCAAATAGATAAAGTGCGAATCTTGTCACTGCCCACTGTGCATGTCTAATTTCCAGCCCCACAAGACAACTAAATTTAGTGCAAATGTAGTGCATGTGAAATGATTTAGCTTTGTTGTCCTAAATTAACTTAAGTAAATTAACTTCTGGTTCTGCAAGGATGACTAACTGTGGCCTTAGTGCATTTCGCTGCAAATGTCAGCAGTTTTGTATGAATCCAGTATTACTAGCTATTTGACTGTTTTTGTGTTTCTTCTAATGTTCCTGTAAAACGAGCAGCACAAACACATTTTTATGCTTTTCCAAGATTGGTCTTTGCGTACCACTAGTTTTTGTACAAATACTGATGACTTGAGCATCTAAAACTCCTAAAAGAAGGGGAGATGAAGGACCCACATTCACTGTGGACTGACAGGTCGTTTTATTTGGTCACTTTAGCATTTCTGGTTGTCTGCATCTTGGACGATCGAATAAAATCAGTTTGAAAAAAATGGAGAAGTGGCGAAACGTCTTCAAATCTTGGAAACCAAGTCCAGTGGATATTTTTTGAATTGGCCTACATGCAAATGCATAAGTGTTAGGATTATTCTTATTATTGATGTGTGTGTCATAGTTTTGGATCTGTTTAAGTTTTATCTTTGAGTTTTCATTGGTTTTATTTCCATTTTGTGTTATTCTAGATATTTTGGATTGTATTTGAGTTCTTAGGTATTTCTTTTTTGCCCTCTTTCACCTTTTTGCTAGCTCCCTTCTAGGCTCCTCTGTCCACACCTGCTCCCAATCTGCTGATTTGCCTGCTCTTTGTTTCTGTCTCCCATATATGTGCCTCCTGCTCAATCACTGTTTGCTGGTTTGTCATCATTTCTTCTTCCTTAAAGTGAGCTTTCTGTATTTTTGTGGATTCTGAGGATTTATGTTTTTGGATTTTGGCTTCTGTTACCTTTTTGTTATTAAGTCCCCGTCCACACGAAGTCAAACCCTGGCCTAAACACACAAATTTTTCACCAAACCAGCCTCTCATCCATACGAAGCCGGCGTTTCGGGGGTCTGTAAACAGTCTTTTTTTTTATCAGGCCTTCAGAGTGGGAAGATTTTGAAACGCCGTTTTAGCGTTTCCATCTTTAAGCTCTAACCGCATTTTTTTTTTTACACGCATTAGTCATAGCGTCGCCTCTAAACACGCATGCGTGACACAGTATCACAACAACAATGGCGCCGTACTGTGTTAAATGGTTGCTGCTCATGCTACTCACCCTGCTGTCGGGCTTACAACAGACGTTCAGTGGATATTTTTTGAATTTTTACGGAATTGAAAAAAAAATAGTGCTTGAGTCCTCCCATATTTCAGGGGTTACCACAACAAGTCATTATGACTTACTTACAGACTTGGAAACGTGTTTTATTCTGGTTGTCCTTCCTGGCTACGCTGTGTGGAGGATTAGACCTTTTCAGCAACATAATCCGTAACGAGAAATTAATTCCTATACATGATTAACAGCTAATGAACAACCAAATGAAGTTTCTGAGAAAATATTAATATTATAAGAGGGATAGACAGCAGCTAGGATTTTTAAATAAATAAATGTAATGTGTCAGTGAACCAGCTACAGGCACTACTCGAGTTGAGGGGGGATAGCACCGCATTTCTTAAAAAAAAATCTTTAAAATCTTCCTCCTTCTTAAATGACCATCACCCCATAACATCCCTTGTAACATTTTATTACTGAATGTGTAAACTTTCAACTATATATTAACAGTAATGGCAACAATATTGCCTTTCAACATTTGGCGGGCTGTGGGCTGATGAGTAGCCTGAGCAAAATAAATAAAATCAAAGAAGTGTCCTACCATGACTATGAAGCTGATCCCAGTGGGGAATTTGTCCTCTGCATTTGTCTCTAACTATGTAGGTGCAGTGATAGCCATGCCAGCCCGGGGACTGACTGTTCCTACTGTAAGGTGCCTTGGTCAGGGTCAATGACCGGCGTACCTGACATGTAACAACCATACCATGCATATCGCTTTAGGTTAATAGACTATATTGATAGCAATAGCTTTGCTATCATTAGTATCAGTATTAATCAGGATGTTTATTCCAAACTGAGCTGCTTTCGTGCTGCTTCAGGGAACACAGACGTTCATACCGCCTCATCAAGCCTCATCCTGCCTTCAGTCAAATATTTGTTGCATTGTTTTTTGTTTTTTTTTTAAACTGGTTTGTGAACTTTTCTTCATTATCTGGAACTGGAAGGTGCTAACAGGCTTAGCTCATTACTTCCTTGTTTACCCCCTCCACACATGTGCAATATTATACACGTGTTTTTATTGGAAATACACAAAAAGGGCTTTTTTTTATCAACAAACCGAACAAAAAACGAAAAAAAAAGAACAAATAATAGACCAACAGGCCCGGGCAATCTTTCAGAAAGAAGTTTGCTTGTAACCAGAGTGAGCTTCTGGTGTAAAAATGAAACAAATTTCATAAAATGTGACTTTTAATAACCATAATATCACTGGGAACTGACCGCAGCCTCAATGAGAATCTGTGGTTCAGAAAAGCTGTTAGTCTCATCGCTTCCATGCTACAAAGCACAAATTGCTAATTCAAGCATTTAGTGCATGCACTACACAATGCATGGAGATACTCAAAAAAATTGCAAAAATTAACCTTCAAAACAGATCTCTCTGTGCAAAAGGAATTGACATAATGTCCAGTCTGCATCACCTAAATAGCTTTTGTAAAACATTTTTGAGGTGTCTTTTAGAGTCGCCGCACACATTGTGTTGCTTTACTTACGTTGACCTCCAAATCCACAGAATCTGGGTAGAAATAGACCAAGACTGACAGCACAGACACCGGCTTGAGCGTGACGCTCCGAGGGAAGAAGAAGAAAAGGATCAGGCAGCAAAGAAAAAGGCAAATACCCATGGAGATGCACACGTACAGCTTTCTGAAACATCAATACAGCGTGGTTAAAATCTAATTAACAGAAACCTAAAGCTGAATCTTTTAGATTTTCTCCTTACGTGCGTCTGGGTTTTAACCGCACATCGCTGCATGGTATCACAGCAAGGAGCTGATCTTGCTGGCCTGCCGTTACAAAAAAAAGTTATTTTTTTTTTAGTTTTCCTGGATAAAAAGAAGAAATGAAAGACTCCAAACGAGCACATTTGTTTCCTTTCTTCTTGAAAGCAAATTATCAGTTAGTTTCAATCCACAGTGAAAAAAATGAATAAAAATCAGGAGAAAAGCTGTTTTCCAGGGGAATAAAACCAACCTCTGGGAATTCGTCCGGTGCCTTGACACGTTGGGCAGGTGTCACTCGAGGAGCTTCCATTAGTGCTGCCGTAATGAGGAGTGTTTTTGAGCGTTTTCTCCCTCTCCATCGCTTTAGCTACCTTAGGATCCAGACCGTTCCTGCTGACAGGATCAGGCGGCGCCATGACCCTTCCCTAAAAGACAAAGTCCAGTTTAAGCATAAAAATAAGAAACCTGACACCGACAAAAACAGCTGCCTCAGGTCCAACTATAGTCACATAATAAACAATATTTCCCCCACAAAACATTTAAAACAACCATAAAAATTCCTGAAGACATGTAAGATATCATGAAATGGAGAAGACAAAGAAGACTCCCATTAGTCTTTTTATCATTTGGTAACAAATTAAATTAGAAGAAAAAGCTTAGCACAAATTTTATATTATCCAAGCATTTTAAATTCAAATGTTGGCCTTTTCTAAAACAATTTTAAATAGAGGGTCAAAGATGATTAGAAAAATTCAGAAACAAATAAAAAAAAAAACATTAACGATAAATATGAAATAAGAAATTATAGAAAAAGGCCTTTTTAAAAAGCATTCAGACTATACAGACTCATTTTGATTTATTTCCTATTTTTTAACTGAATGCATTTTATTTTCTCCTATTTATCTGAAATCATTTTCAGACCATTTACTTTATGTCTGACCGTCCCCTACCAAAAGTTGTCCTTGTGGCCTACATGCAAATGCATAAGTGTTAGGATTATTCTTATTATTGATGTGTGTGTCATAGTTTTGGTTCTGTTTAAGTTTAATCTTTGAGTTTTCATTGGTTTTATTTCCATTTTGTGTTATTCTAGATATTTTGGATTGTATTTGAGTTCTTAGGTATTTCTTTTTTGCCCTCTGTCACCTTTTCGCTAGCTCCCTTCTAGGCTCCTCTGTCCACACCTGCTCCCAATCTGCTGATTTGCCTGCTCTTTGTTTCTGTCTCCCATATATGTGCCTCCTGCTCAATCACTGTTTGCTGGTTTGTCATCATTTCTTCTTCCTTAAAGTGAGCTTTCTGTATTTTTGTGGATTCTGACGATTTATGTTTTTGGATTTTGGCTTCTGTTACCTTTTTGTTATTAAGGCCCCGTCCACACGACGTCAAACCCTGGCCTAAACGCACAAATTTTTCACCAAACCAGCCTCTCATCCATACGAAGCCGGCGTTTCGGGGGTCTGTAAACAATCTTTTTTTTATTCAGCCTTCAGAGTGGGAAGATTTTGAAACGCCGTTTTCGCGTTTCCATCTTTAAGCTCTAACCGCATTTTTTTTTCTTACACGCATGCGTCATAGCGTCGCCTCTAAACACGCATGCGCGACACAGTATCACAACAACAATGGCGGCGTACTGTGTTGAATGGTTGCTGCTCATGCTACTCACCCTGCTGTCGGGCTTACAACAGAATCTTCTTCTTCTGGAATATCTCCAGGAAGAACAGAGCAATATCGACCACATAGTTCAGCACCTGAATTTGACTGAACCACGAAAATGGACCCGCAGGGCAACCATGTATAAATATTAGTGCGCATGCCCAACATTTCGTCGCCTATTTTTGCTTTGGCACCACAGCGCCACTTACAGGCCTGGCATACATTTAGCAGCGTTTTCATGCATTCGTGTGGACGATCACATTTATTTTGCGTCTCCGTCTTTACGACAAACGTTCTGGAAAATATTAGCGTTTTGTGTTCGTTTTGACTTCGTGTGGACGGGGCCTAAGTCTGCAAAAAAAAAAAAAAACTTCAGCTTAAGTCTCAGGATTTGGGTCCTCCTCTTCAAACATCCACCTAACCTGACGGTGTGAGTCTGTTAATCCCTAATATTACCTGCCTGTTGAGTGTCTAAACTAGTGTTTTCCAAAGTACTTTATCTAATTAGGACCGTTCCTCTGTCAGGATAAAAAGTCATCTTCATGATGCATTTGGCAAAGATTTGGGAATGGAATGAGAGCAGTGTCCTCGTTCTAAGAACATCGTGTAATACTTTGATAAGGCTGGAGCCGTGTATGTCTCGTATGATGTAATGATGTGTTGAATAAAATGCTTCCTTAACTGCGATTTTGGGATAATTCAATGAGATGTGAGCCCGGTTGGTAAGCAATGCCTTCTTTACTGGTCTGAATTAGATTAGAATTTGTGTCAAATCTCATGGTTATTTAATACATTTACATGATGATGTGTTATTTAAAGGGTTTGTCTCGAGTGATCTCAGGAAAAGAACCAGAGAGAGAAAGCTTAAAGGAGTAAACACAGAGCTTTCATTAACAAAGACAAGAATAAACAAAACACTGTGAAACATGCTGGTGACAGAAATATGCTGCAGACGAGCTGCATAATATCAGCAGACAGAGTGAAGCTGGGAACACCTGAACATAGAAGGCGCTAAATGGGTCAACCCTGAAAGAAAAGCTGTTAATGCTTTCTTAAAGAGATGAAAGCTCACCTTCTAGCATGGCAACAAGCCAAAGCATACAGACAGAGATCAAATTAAATGGTTTAAATCAAAGCGGAATATTCAAAACATTTAAATTTTTTGCGGTTAATCATACACATCAATATACTAACATCAAAGATGATAAATGCAGAATTCATGCTCTAATCAGAAATATATTTTGTGTTATATGGGGTAAAGAGAAAATGTGTCTTTGCAAGTCATCAATCTTCAGTGAAATCATAGACAAATGACAATTTTAATAAAAAGTTTTCAAATAATCAATTTATGTAGATATTAGTGCTTTTAAATATCAATTTTATGCAGAATGTTTATTGATACAAGTAGGTAAGTAATGACTATGGAAAAGATTTACGCCCTAGAATTTAAAACTGAAAGAATTTTATCCACTATACGTTTCATTTAGAAAGCACGGATGTTTAAATATCTATTTGTTAGCAAAGGCTGTAGGAAAGTATAGTTTGTCTTTATTTAGAAAATATGGATGTTTTGCTCGTTAATTTTCCTGTTGGAACAGTGTAGACTGACCCTCAGGTTCTGGGACTATTTTCGATTTTTAAGAGATTTTTTTTTAAGACAAAAGTTGGGACTTTTCTTCAATATCTATGTCAAATTGTTTTACTACATTAGCCTGATGAGGCACACTCATTTTTATTCCATTTCAACTAGGGCTGGGCGATAATTCAATAACGATATATAT